CCCCCAACCTGGAGGACCAGGAGTCTGAACTTCGTCTGACCTCCACCGTACGACCTTCCAGGCATGACAAAAGTCATCCAGTGTAGCTGTTCGGGTCACAGAGGTGCACAAGCCATCACACCACGTCAGGGTGCAGTCTCGTCGTGTGCGTTGGCCACAGAGGTTCGATTTCTTTTCACATCTGTGAAAATAGGTCCAATCCCCATCCTCCTTACGCATTGGACAACAATCGGTAGAGTTTGCTTCACTGTATTACGCCGTGTGATGATAATGATAACGTCTGCTCCGGTTCATCACTCGGACTTGAGTTGCTGTTTATGATAGCAAAATAGCACACCCCCCTGATAATTTGGACTGCTACACTTTGAAAATTTATTACTAAGGTTATTCGTAAATGGAGATCAGCACTCCTGGTCATCAGTTCGATGGCCGTACAATCATTGTTGACAACACATCTACTTTTTAAAGAGTTTCGCTCCCCTAATTTCCATGGTTGAAGTGACCGGTTTCTGCAACGGAATATTAGGTCTTCGTGACTGTGGCGTTCATGTATGCCTTTCATTGTGACATGTTTGGTGATGAAAGAATGCTTGTTTGAATTGAAGTGAACGTTATAAATTATATGTTTGTTGTGACGCCCCCCCCACGCCCCGTGCATTTCGAACTGTTTAATTTGATGGAAATTTACTCACGGAGTATTTTATTCCCTTCTCAACTATGTGCGAAGAAACGCTTTAATTTTTACCGCCATCTTAAGCTTCTACGGGGTTGCGTTGTTTTACACCCAATTTGTTTCAGTTCAGCACGGCGAAGCTGATGTGGTTGTTGCTGGAGGCTGTGAGGCTTCTGTTACCCCATGGACTACGGCAGCTTTTTCACGGATTCGCGCACTGTCCACTCGATTCAATGCGGATCCCACTTCAGCTGCACGCCCTTTTGACACGCAGCGAAATGGATTTGTCATAGGCGAGGGCGCGGGAGCTGTGGTCTTGCAGGTTTGGCCACCACCAGACGATATTGCTGAATATTGCCGCGCTGGTGGTCATCAACCAGCCCCAATAGCTGAAGTCATTGGTTATGGAAGATCCGGTGCGTGTATTTTTACTATTTCTTTTCGTCTGTGAGTTTGGGCCCGGTTATCCCATCGTGTTTTTGTGTAGGCACACATCTTAAGCTGCTTGTTTTCTTTTTGTTTGCGAGATGGTGAGGGTTCGTTTCATAGAGCAATTTTTAGTGGTCTGTTTTAATAAAAACACAGCGTATTTGACTAAAAACAATGCACAAAATATATCATCCGTGGACGCCTCTGGAAATTTATCATCGGCATTGTTCGCTGAGCCGTATGCTACCGAGCGCGTCCCCAGGTCGCGGATAGGAGAACGGCCGTCAACTCACGGCTAACCGTGAATAAGGTGGGCTTCGGCCCTCCGAATAAGTGATCGCAGACGATCAGCGGCAGCGCTCGGGGGTGTGGTGGGTTTACTTCCTGGCAAGAGTACTCCGCGTCAAACACCACA